ATGTGTATTGTAGCCAATTCAAGTTGAAAAAAAGAAACCTGGGTCTCCTTCAGTTGTTAAGCCATGAGAGCTTGGTCTCATATCAATCTGAAGATCTGTGTAAACACGTAAGCTTTCAATTATTATGACTTCAAAAAATCGCTTCAGAAGTTACCACATAATTACTTTGGTTTCCTTGGTATCCAAGTACTTTTCAAAAGCTTACTTTCTAGCTGTAATTATTCTGAAGTTTAGCATTTGTATTTTTGCATTTCCAAAGCACTCTGCAGTTCTTAATGTTTTTTAACAGTTAGTAAAATAGTTTTGTAGCACTTAAAAGTTTTTAACATAGTTCCCTAATAAACCACTATTCTGAAAAATCCCTCTATAAGAAAAAGCCTCTGCTCACAAATTTGTTCATTGTTTCTCCTTTTGCTTGCAAATGGTACGACTGTGTCTATCTTAGGGAACAAACACTTTAATTGGGTATTAAAGAAACTGGGAATGTTTCCCCTCATTGAATATATCTACTCACAGTTAGGAAAACTTTGAGTTATTAAGACAAAGGGGTTATAAACCCAGATGGGATCTTAGATGTGCTTATAACATAAAACCCATAATAGTACTACAGAAGGAAAAAAAAGACAACACTATGATTTCTCATAGGGAACTTTTCCCAGGGTAGCTTTCTTCTGAAGAAATTAGGATACTTTACTTTCAAAGTAAAAAATATTCCCCTAATTAAGCATCCATATAAGCTGCAATTTCTTTATGACTCTACTTTTTATTCATGAGTTTTAAGATACTCCAAGTAAACCTGGAATATAACATTAATACTACTATAATTCTAATTAGCTACTTTGAACAACAGTTTCACATATTGGGATTTCTGGAAGTGGTGTGATTTTAAAACACAGCTTATGCTTATATACACTGCCACAACCCCTCTTCTCCCACAAAATATTAATTTAGTAAATATTTAATACTGAAATCATGCTTTGATCACTTGGCACAGTTATTACAATTAAGTTGGCATGACCAAAACACCAAAAGCATTGGCAACAAAAGCCAAAATAGACAAATGGGACCTAATCTAACTCCACAGCTTCTGCACAGCAAAAGAAACAGTCATTAGAGTGAATCGGCAAACAACAAAATGAGAAAAAATCTAAAATCTTTGCAATCGGGTTAATATCCAGAATCCACAAAGAACTAAAACAGATTTACAAGAAAAAAACAAGCCCATTCAAAAGTGGGCGAAGGACATGAACAGACGCTTTACAAAAGAAGACAAACATGAGGCCAACAAACATATGAAAAACTGCTCGCCATCACTGGTCATTAGAGAAACGCAAATCAAAACTACATTGAGATACCATCTCACGCCAGTCAGAATGGCAATCATTAAAAAACCTGGAGACAACAGATGCTGGAGAGGATGTGGAGAAATAGGAACACTTTTACACTGTTGGTGGGAGTGTAAATTAGTTCAACCATTGTGGAAGACAGTATGGTGATTCCTCAAGGACCTAGAAATAGAAATTCCATTTGACCCAGCAATCCCATTACTGGGTATATATCCAAAGGATTATAAATTGTTCTACTATAAGGACACGTTCACACGAATGTTCATTGCAGCACTGTTTACAATAGCAAAGACCTGGAACCAACCCAAATGCCTATCGATGATAGATTAGACAGGGAAAATGTGTCACATATACACCATGGAATACTATGCATCCATCAAAGCTGATGAGTTCTTGTCCTTTGTAGGGACATGGATGAACCTGGAAACCATAATTCTCAGCAAACTGACACAAGAACATAAAATCAAACATTGCATGTTCTCACTCATAGGTGGGTGTTGAACAATGAGAACATATGGACACAGGGAAGGAAGCATCACACACTGGGGTCTGTCAGGGGAAAACAGGGGAGGGACAGCGGGGGGTGGGGAGTTCGGGAGAGATAGCATGGGGAGAAATGCCAGATATAGGTCAGAGAGGAAGGCAGCAAATCACGCTGCTATGTGTGTACCTATGCAACAATCTTGCATGTTCTTCACATGTACCCCAAAACTTAAAATGCAACTAAAAAAAAAATTACCTGGGGAGCTAATTAAAGTGAGGCTAAGTAGGCTCCCCCGTCTTCTGCTGCCCCAGAAAGTCTAATTCATTGGAGCAGGAGGTGGTGGAGGGGGCCCAGGATCCTAATATGGATGGTCCTTAGACTAAACTTTGTGAAATAACTTTGCTATGTGAAAGAAAAGGAGCTTTCTGCTGAAGGAGTAACTCAGTAGTTTGTTAATTCAAATTGTTAAAAATAATTTTATTCCCACATATTTAAACCTGAAAAGAAATTCATGAAAAAAAAAACCAAGTTGGCAATATAAATAGCTTAATAGATAACTAGTATTTGGACTTCATACTTTAATTTTGAAAACTCACTGTTAAACACAAATATTTTCTATTTGAACTCTGTTCAATGAGCTTCAATTTTATATTTAAAGCATGTCTATCAAGTGATTCATACCTTATCTTCAACATATACTCATGAAAAGCTCACTATTGTGGCCGGGTGCAGTGGCTTACTCCTATAATCCCAGCACTTTTGAAGGTGAAGGCGGGTAGATCGCTTGAAGTCAGGAATTTGAGACTAGCCTGGCCAACATGGCGAAACCCCATCTCTGTTAAAATACAAAAAATTAGTTGGGCATGGTGGCAGGCAAAGATTAACTGTAATTGTCAATTGAATACAGTCAAGGCTATATTCAAATTAATCTTTGTAATTGTCAATTGAATACAACCTTGACTCTTAGAAAATCACGAACTTGTGTTAAGGCCAGGCACAGTGGCTCGCCTGTAATCCCGGCTACACAGGAGGTTAAGGCAGGAGAATTGCTTCAACCCAGGAGGCGGAGGTTGCAGTGAGCCGGGATCGTGCCACTACACACCAGCCTAGAAGACAGAGTAAAAAACCTGTCTCAAAAAACAAAAAACAAAAAACAACAAAAAAAAAAAGGAAAAAGAAAAACACTTGCTTAAGCACTGCACTCTGTCAAATTTATCATATACCAACTCTCATTTGCTTAATATATTTTTTAAGATAGTCTTGCCCTGTTGCCCAGGCTGGAGAGCAGTGGCATGATCTCAGCCCACTGCAACCTCCATCTCCTGGGCTCAAACAATCCTCCCATCTCAGCCTCCTGAGTAGCCAGAACTACAGGTGCACACCATGCCTGGTTAATTTTTGTATTTTTTTAGAAATGGGGTTTTACTATGTTGCTCAGGCTGGTCTCAAACTCCTGAGCTCAAGTGACCTGCCCACCTCAGCCTCCTAAAGGGCTGGGATTACAGGTGAGCCACTGTGCCTGGCCTTAACACAAGTTTGAGATTTTCTACTAAGAGTCAAGGCTGTATTCAATTGACAACTACAAAATTAAAAATGGGGAGAAGGAGTCATCCACAAATACCATTAGTCAGTATATAAACGGGCAGTCTTTCTGGAGCTCAATTTGGTGATAATTAAGATTTTATAGCATTTGACCAGGTAGATTCATCCAACAGAAAAGTGAACCAATATCTAGACACAAAGATCAATATAATTTTTTGAAATAGTGACAAATGCAATGAAGCTGTTCAGAAAAGAGGTGACTTAGCAGGCCTGAGATTGCTATCCTTATAAAGGTCAGCTTGGAAGGTTGGCCTTTGGATAACATCTGGAAACGTAGCTGGCGAACAGTTCCCTACACTGATATAAAGCTTTCCCTAAAAACCCAAACCTCACTTTGGGAGGCCAAGGTGGGTGGATCACGAGGTCAGAAGTTCAAGAACAGCCTGGCCAAGATGGTGAAACCCAGTCTTTACTAAAAATACAAAAAAAAAAAAAAAAAAATTAGCTGGCATGGTGGTGGGTGCCTGTAATCCCAGCTACTCGGGAGGCTGAGGCAGAGAATTGCTTAAACCTGAGAGGCAGAGGTTGCAGTGAGCCAAGATTGAACCACTGCACTCCAGTCTAGGTGATACAAGGAGACTCCGTCTAAAAAAAAAAAAAAAAAAAAAAAAAACAGTAAAGAAAAAAAACCCAAACCTAGGCTGGGCGCAGTCTTACACCTATAATCCCAGCACTTTGGGAAAATAAGGTGGGAGGATTGCGAGTTCAACACCAGCCTGGGCAACATAGTGAGACCTTGTCTCTACAAAAAATAAAAAATTAGCTGGCCAGGTGTGGTGGCTTACACCTGTAATCCCAGCACTTTAGGTGGTCGAGATGGGTGGATCACCTGAGGTCAGAAGTTCAAAACCATCCTGGCCAACATTGTAAATCCCCGTCTCTACTAGAAATATAAAAATTAGCTGGGTGTGGCGGCGTATGCCTATAATCCCAGCTACTCAGCAGGCTGAGGCAGGAGAATCACTTGAACCGGGAGGTGGAGATTACAGTGAGCTGAGATGGTGCCACTGCACTCCAGCCTGGGAAACAGAGCGAGATTCAGTCTCAAAAAAAAAAAAAAAAAGAATAGCCAAGTGTGTGGTCACATACCTGTAAGAGACTGAGGTGTCCAGAGGGCTTGACCTCAGGAGGTTGAGGTTGCAGTCAATCATGATCATGTCACTGCTCTCCAGGCTGGGTGACAGAGCAAAACTGTCTCAAAAAAGGAAAAAGAATACAAACAAAACCTAGGTATTTGAAGCTATCATGGAACTGATGTACTGTGTAAGCCAGAGCCACCCTTTGTTGGAACTCACCTGATTTTAATAAACTTTCCTTACTGTGTAAGCCATTTTGAAGTGGAGTTTTACTGCTTATAGTTAAAAGTATCTTTCTGGATTTCCACTTATGTTGGCTTTTATAAAAAGACAGTGAAATTATAAGCCTGAGGCCTGTGTTTATGACTCAGAAGCATGACTTACTAACTTTGTGAATGGGGGCAGGACACTAACCATCTTGAGGTACAAGTGAAACGACAGCATATATTTTATAAGTACAGTTATGGAAAGACAGAGGGCAGCTCAGCATGCTAGCTGTACAATGTCTACACACTTTAATGATCAGACAAGTTCTAGCAAACAACTGGGCACATCAAGTGAGGCCAATAATGGATCTATACCCCAACCCCAGAATGTTTACATCCAAGATGCTCCACCCAATGTCCACATAATGAAAAGTGCCCATCTATGACCAAAAACATCTGAAGTCAAAGGAAACAATTGCGACAGCATGAATTCTAATAAATGAAAGTTTTATTTGGGTCAGCATTACTATTCTGATTTTTAAAGATTATATATAGAGATATCATGAATTTGATCTTCAACCAAAATGTTAAATCCCTTAATAATACCATGCTAGAAAACAGCATGAAGTATAATCAACTGTAAAACAGGTTAATACTGGGTGCAGTGGCTCACACCTATAATCCCAGCACTTTGGGAGGCTGAGGGACGAGAACAGCTTGAGCCCAGGAGTTCAAGACCAGCCTGAGCAACACAGCGATACCTGATCTCTATTAGGAAAAAAAAAAAAAAAAGTTGAGCCAACAACATAATATGGAGATGGTCTGCTACTGGCAGCAATTCAAATAACACGGCTCAAGCAGTCTCTAATAACAATGTCTGGAATGAAAAATTAACAAACAGAGAAACATATTCATGAAGCTATAGTTTTTTTTCTGTGAATATCAACTATTCTGTACCACAGACACATTCTGAAATTTACATTATTCTTCTTAAAAGTTTTATTGGAAATAATTAGCATTTAAGTACTAAGTACTTAATACTTAAATTAGTATACAATACTACACTAATTAGTATTATATAAATTAGTATTAAATACTAATTTAAGTATTAGTATTCAAGTACTTACACAATTTATTGACTAGTCATATATATATGGACACATATTCATACACATATCTACACATACACTAACATAAACATATATATACATTAGACCAAAGGGAGCTTTAAAAAAGCACTAAAAAATATTTAATCAATTGCAGAAGTAGAAAGTAAGCTGTGAACTTCCTAAGTTATCAATCACATTATGAGAATGTGAGTCTTATGTATTAAAAAATAAAACAAAGCAAAAACTTTGTTGCACTTAACAACATACAAAATAGTGTAATATACATAAGAAAAATCCATTATCAGACTGTAGATACAAAATAATCAGTGATTTGCATGTAATAAACATTAACATTTCAATAAAAATATTTTAATAGAATAGTATTACCAGACTGTATTAGGACAGCATAGTATCACAAAACGTTATAGGAAACAGTAACAATCTTCAAACAACAGAATTTTTTCTACTACATACTAAATACAAGTTTTATCTCCATTTATGCATATCATTAAAAATGTTAAAGAATTCTTATTCTAATTTTTTGCTCTTTTATTCTAGAACTGTGTATTGCAATTTCCAAGAAATAACCTATAGTTTCCCAGAAGGATTATTTTTAACACTGGCAGTCTTCCTGTTCAATACACAAAATATCAATCTTTTCTTCTGTCAGAAAGCTCAAAATTAAAAACTACGCCAGGCTCTTTGTTCAGCGTTTTCTCCTCCTCTTGGATGCAGTGAACTCTAAAGACATAAAGTTTAAAAGTCAGTCAGATTTTTAAAAAAGTAACTGACACTTAAATGATAATACCTAATTGATAATATACATTTAACCTACAAAGATGTCTAATTGGTACAACACAATAAGAATGCCCTCACAGCAAAGACACAACGAAAAAATCTTAAACCTGACATATTCAAGAATTTTTTCTTCAAAATGATATAGCAGTTTAAAACATACTATCTCCATTGAGATAGTAAGATCTCAATCTTATTGCAATATGAATCTACTGAGATAGTAGCCCTTAGTCATTCTAAATCCTAATTAATAGTAAGTTACCATGAAGTTGTTTGATATGGGTACGCCCTCCCTATAATTAGTATAAACCCAGTGTGCTAGATGTCAAAGATACTTAGGCCAGTACTAAGAGGGAGAAAATGACTAAGATTCCAATTTCATGTCAATTAAACCTAGAAACATAACCCTAAACACTAGTACCATACATCATTCTCGCTACCACAGGAGATGCCAGAAACAACACCTGAATAATTGTCCATCTAAAAACAGCACAAACCTAAAGGTTACTGATCATTAAAAGCAAAGAAAGTAATAGGAAACACAAAAACATGAAAATTATCAAAGATGTGGCAAAAAGAAATATTCCGGCTGTGTCCTGGCTCACGCCTGTAATCCCAGCCCTTTGGGAAGCCGAGGCAGGCAGATCACTTGAGGTCAGGAGTTCAAGACCAGCCTGGCCAACATGGTGAAACCCCATCTCTACAAAAATACAAAAATTAGCCGGGCATGATGACAGGTGCCTGTAATCCCAGCTACTCGGAAGGCTGAGGCAGGAGAATCACTAGAACCCAGGAGGTGCTGGTTGTGGTGAGCCAAGATCGCGCCATTGCACTCCAGCCTGGGCAACAGAGTGAGATTGCATCTCAAAGAAAGAAACAGTCCCCACCAGTGAAAAACAAAAAGAGAATGGCAGAAAAAGAAAAATAGAAAAGACAAGGAAAAAAACAAATGAGGATGAAGACAAATTCCTAAGCCAGGCATGGTGGCTCATGCCCATAATCCCAGCACTTTGGAAGGCCAAGGCAAGTGGATTGCTTGAGCCCAGGAGTTTAAAATCAGCCTAGGCAACACAGTGAGTCTCTGTCTCTATAAAAAAAAATACAAAAATTAGCCAGGCATAGTGTCATGTGACTGTAGTCCCAGCTACTCAAGAGGCTGAGACGGAACGGGAGGATAGCCTGAGCTGGGGAGGTCGAAGCCATATGTAGTCACTGTGACTGAACCATCACACTCTACCCTGGGCAACTCAGCAAGATCCCGTCTCATTAAAAAAAAAAAACTGAAAAAAGAACAGCAGTCAGGATTAGAAGTACTGAAACACTGTCCAGATGAAAGCAGGTCAGAGGTCTGAGAGAGACATCTTTACAAAGATGAAACTGTTGGATACCTAATCAGTATCCATACCATCCGTTAATTGTATTATCCTTGACTTTGAGATGTTGTTAATGATATGACTAATATTGAAATTCTCCAATGGGCCAAAAATGAAAGGATCACAAGAACACACAGCAAACTGTCATGTTCCTCAAGGGTTCTAAACCTTGATGCACTATGAATGTAAGTTTACTTCACTAGTCTGACAAAATTTCATCTGTACCTGTTCCACCCAAACTTTCATTCTCTTCTTCCTCTTCTGTAATTACAGGCATACTCAGACTTAAAGGTTTGTCTTCCTTGTGTATATTCTGAACGTTACCTGCAAATATTTAGAAAATATTATATAAAAGCAAAACATATTAATCTTTGAGAAAACATTTTACAAAAAATGTCATTATTACAGCATAAAAATTAGGCATGTAAAAACTGAAATTATAATGGTAAACAGAAATATGCATTCTAGAATACCTATCTTTTTTCGAGTACTAATATATTTGTATTTATACTTTGAAAATAGTTTCTAGTTCTTCCACTAGAGAAAACAGAAAAAGGGAATAAACAAAATTACCCAAACACAAACACTATATTTAATCTTTATCACACACCACAGGGGTTATATCTGCAGGCATCAAAGAATAATCACATATGTTACTTCAACTTTATAAAATTAATTACAAATGTAATTTTTGAGCTTAATAAGCCTTGTTTTTGGATGCGGACATACTTTCTTTTCTTACCACATATGCTCTACGAGATATATTTCTCTCATCCTAATTTGCCATTGACTTTCTATTTTTAAAAACACTAGAGGTTCTCTACATCAACCTTCTGTTACCTGAAGAAATATCCCATCTGTTACCTGAAGAAATATCCCAATGAAATTTATCAGATATCATTGTCATATCAAGTACCATTTAGCACACAAATTCCATGTCCCAAAAGTAACCCCATAAACACTATTTTTTAGGCTGTGTGTTTCTTTGCCCCAACACTTTTATCATTTGGTATGTTATATCTTGCTGCTTTTTTTTTTTTTTTGAGATGGCATCTCACTCTGTCACCCACACTGGTGTGCAGTGGTGCCATCACTGCTCATAGCAACCTCTGCCTCCTGCGTTCAAGCAATTCTCCTGCCTCAGTCTCCTAAGCCTGCACACTGAGAACAGAAAGACATTCACTACAGTAAGTGTAACAGAAATACTATTTAAAAAAAAAGAAACATAAGAACAAAGCACTTCGGCATGAAGCCATTTAGTATAAACTGCCTCACGCTTACATTATTTCTTTTGTTGTTGAGACAGTCTGTCTCTCTGTAGCCCAGGCTGGAGTGCAGTGGTGTAATTTCAGCTCACTGCAACCTCTGCCTCCCAGGCTCAAGCAATTCTTGTGCCTCAGACTCCTGAGTAGCTGGGACTACAACTGCATGCCACCACACCTGGATAATTTTTGTATTTGTAGTAGAGATGGGGTTCCACCATGCTGGCCAGGCTGGTTTCGAATTCCTGACTCTGTGATCCATCTGCCTCCACCTCCCAAAGTGCTGGGATTACAGGCCTGAGCCACCACACCCAGTCTATTTCTTGACAGAATCACTACATTATAAAACCCAGTAACATAATAGTCATGATGGTGACCAAGACTTCTCAGGAGAATATTAAATTATGTTAAGGACACAATGCTCCAGAAAATAAGAGAGCATAAAATATATCTGACTTTCATATTTTTATAATTACAAAAATGATAAATGTAGGAAAAAAGAAACATATAAAAAAGAATGCAAGCCTGGTGTGGTGGCTCACACCTGTAATCCCAACACTTTGGGAGGCTGAGAGGGGTGGATCATGAGGTCAGGAGATTGAGACCATCCTGGCCAACATGGTGAAACCCTCCCCCTTTACTAAAAATACAAAAATTAGCTGGGCATGGTGCCATGTGCCTGTAGACCCAGGTACTCAGGAGGCTGAGGCAGGAGCATCGCTGGAACCCAGGAGGCAGAGACTGTAGTAAGCGAGATCGTGCCACTGCACTCCAGCCTGGGTGACAGAGTGAGACTCGATCTTAAAAAAAAAAAAAAAAAAAAAAGAATACAATATATTTGAGAAAGATAGTAAAAAATAATCAAATTTTTAAAAAATAAATTTCAACATTGTAATCATTAACCTCAATTATCCATAAAACTAACTCCCTAGAAGGTCTTAGGTGGGCAGTTCTACTCATTAATGTGTAGGGTACAATTATCAGTAACAGACCATTACTTATTATCAAAACAAATGATTACTAGTCAGGCAGCTAGAATACAACTAAGAACAAATTTACTTAAGTGTATGTCTAATCTCAGCTCCAGATCCACACCTCCAATGACCCAAGAGGTAGCACAGTATGGCAATTAAAGAGTCAGGCTTGGATTCAGACACTCATTCCAGTCTCAGTTCTGCTATGTATTATCTAAGAGGCCTTGGACACATGAGAAAAAGTCTGGCAGATAAAAAGAGTTATACAGCCAGGCGCAGTGGCTCATGCCTGTAATCCCAGCACTTTGGGAGGTGCAGGCGGGCAGATTATTTGAGGCCAGGAGTTCAAGACAAGTCTGGCCAACATGGTGAGACCCCATCTCTACTTAAAATACAAAAATTAGCTGGGCATAGTGGCAGGCACCTGTAATCCCAGCTACTAGGAAGACTGAGGCATGAGACTCACTGGAGCCCAGGAGGCAGAGGTTGCAGTAAGCTGAGATTGTGCCACTGCACTCCAGCCTGGGTGACAGAGTGAGACTCTGTCTCAAAAAACAAGAAAAAAAAAAACACGTGTATAATAGTAGCTGCTACCATCTTCATCCATCATAGCACTGGTATTAGTGATGTCCTATCAACATGCATGTTATATTCGAGGAATGGTGAGCACATAACTGAAACTTAACACAAGCTTAAGTAAATTCCATCAATATACTGAGCACCCATTTATGCACCAAGCAATTATTACAGAAATTAAGTCTGGAAAGGCAGACTGGGGCGAATTCCCCCCCAAATGAAATCTTTATTGTATCATCATATTTCTCCAACATTAAGGACACAAATATCCTCCCAGGTGCGTAGACATTAAGCATTCTTGTCTCGCCCTCTCTATTAGCCTCCATATTTGGCTCTTATATCTGCTAGCCTTGCCTCTCTAATTTCCACGACCACACGGCACATGCTCCTTACTCCTAAATCTGAACTACTGCAAGAGCTTTCTAACTAGTGTTTCTATTTTCAGTTTGCTCCCAGCTACCTACCATTCTACTCCCAGACTTGATTTTCTTCAAGGAAAACTTTGGACAGGCCACTTTCTTGCTCAAAAGCTTCGGTTGACTCCCCCTCTGCCTACCAGCTGAAGTGTAAACTTCTTGGATCCGTAGTTAAGGCCTGGTCACAATACAATCCTCAACCTATTTTTCTAGCACTATGAACAGTTAACTCCCCAACATACCCTTTACAATCCAACCTAAATGGACCCTCACTCTATACTTCCCAGGTACTTTGCCTTTTTCACACCAGCCCCTCTACTTGTGGGAGTCTATGGAATTTTGTTTACCTTATATGTAAAAAGGTCTTTGGATTTCTACTGATTACTAAAGTAACACATGGTTATAAAATCCAAACATTACAGAAATTCATGGACAGTTTCTCATTATACTATCCCAGAAAATTAACTACTGGCAAAACTTCATACACGTCTAGATTTCTTCAATGCTATATACTATGTTCATGTGTGTATGTATATATGTATTTATTAATAGAAATGAGATCATACTTTTTTAAAAAAGGCTTTTCGCTAAGAAATGCATAGATTATGTCGTGTTTTATATTTAATCAATATATTTTTGACATATTTTCATGTAATATATAAATATATGGAGCTTTCTTTAGCTTTTTAGTAACTGCAAAGTATTCCTTTGTATGGACTAACAATAACTTTGTTTACCCATTATACATTTGAGTTGTTTACTGTTTACCATTTCAAATAATCTTGCAATGAATGTCCTTTTATACTTATGATCGGTACAGAATTCCTAGAAATTCTAAGTTAAAAGGCATGAACATTTAGAATTTTGACATGATTCTAAAGTGCTCTATGAAAAGAATGTGCCAATTTACTCTCCCTTAAATTGAGATTTAATTTCCTTACACTTTCACTATCAATGGGTATTATCTTTAATCTTTGCTGATCAAATAAAATAAAAATGTTTTAATTAATATATCTTTTATTATAAACAAAATTCTGTATTTCCTATGTGCACTGACTGTTTGCCTGCATTTGTGGTTGCCTATTCATGTCCTAAGTCTCTTTTTCTACTGGGTGGTGGCCCTTTTCTTATTTGTTTATAAAAGCTCTTTTAAGATTAGAAATTTTGCCGGGCTCGGTGGCTCAAGCCTGTAATCCCAGCACTTTGGGAGGCCGTGGCGGGTGGATCATGAGGTCAAGAGATCGAGACCATCCTGGTCAACATGGTGAAACCCCGTCTCTACTAAAAATACAAAAAATTAGCTGGGCGTGGTGGCGCGTGCCTGTAATCCCAGCTACTCAGGAGGCTGAGGCAGGAGAATTGCCTGAACCCAGGAGGCGGAGGTTGCGGTGAGCCGAGATCGCGCCATTGCACTCCAGCCTGGGTAACATGAGTGAAACTCCGTCTCAAAAAAAAAAAAAAAAAGAAATTTTAACAGCATCATATGTGCAAATGGCTTTTTAAGATCTTTTGCCCTTTATGGAACTGAAGGCTCCTCTTTTTGAAAACCTGTAAAATCACCTTTTCCACTGTATGGAAACAAACTTTTGATTAATGAGAAACTATGAAGTAAGCATTTGGGTCTTTATTATTCAGGTAATTACTTCTGCTTCCGAGTATTTACAATACCTTAGCTGGATTAATTAAGCCATGGTAGAAGATCTGAATTCAGATCATATTTTATAAACCTTATTCTTTCTCATGGGTAATTCCTCCCTAATAACCTGAGAAAATTCAATAACAAATCTCAGCTATATTATGGAGCCTGTCCTTGAGTTAGTTTCAGAATTTACAAAGCAGTTGTTTTCAGGAACTAAGTAAGATATGATTAACAAAGGAAGTGGTATTTCAGAAATTATACCTGTCACACATTCAAGATGAAAGTTCCTTTCATTTAATTTCTTTCTTTTCCTATTTTGCACTTGTTCCTCCTTTGTTCCTCAATCACATTAAAAAATTTTTTTTCAGGTCTTTAAGAAAGCAGCTTGGCCAGCATATCTCGTTGCTGTGCCTATATGAAGGCTGACTGTTAATAAAAAGTGCTTGTGAGGGTTTGT